GATTTTAAATGCATTGTGAGCCGCCCTGAGTCTTCGGAGAGGGGCGGCATATAAATTGAATTAATAAATAATAAAATAAATAAAATAAATAAAGGTTTGGTAACATCTAATACCCCACTCCTGTTTTTAAAATGTTGGTGTTTCAGGTTCATCCTAAATGCCAGAGTTTATAATCCAAAATATCAAGAATGCCTAATAAATTATTAAAGTTTATTAGATGTCATTGTGTCAGAAGTCATCTTAAAAAAAAATAGAAATTGCTCAGTGATAAAATGGTCTACGGTTTTTGAGTCACTTGAGTAGTTTTAGCCATCTGGCTTAAAAAAATGGCGATGCTGACATTTCAGAATCTTCTTGCCTATGTAGTTCAATATGTTAAAATTATTGCAGGTTGCTTTCTGCTGAAAATTTATTTCTTTTTTTTTAATGTCAAGTTTTTTTTTATTTATATATAAGTATTTTGAATACAGTGTATTGTCCGAGCATAACATTTTACAAAAAGGAAAGAAAAAAAAAAGATAACACATATACTGATAGCAATAGTAATAATATAACAAAATAATTCTAACCATATTTATAATTATATTTGCTTATTTATGCTCCTATTATTCCTATTGTTCCTATATATTGGCATGTATATGATTATAAACAACATTCATATTTTACTTAAACATAACAATACTCTTTCTTCATCTAATTTCTACCTCTTATCTCTAACCATTGATAAAACCTATTTCACGTTAAATAGTATTCTGTCTCCTTTATCTTTTATTTTCAAAGATAATAATTGAAAATGTTGCAAATTTACTTCTTTGCTCTTCACTTTTTATTTTACAGATCTAAGTAAATGAATAACAGGACATATATAGCACCTTTGAGCCAGATGAATGTCTGAAATCATATATTGTTCTCTTTAATGTGACCACATGAAGCTGGATTGTAACAGAGTCATAAGCAGTGGATCCAAACCTAAAAGCCTATTTCATAAAAGACAAATTTTACCAACTGTAACTACTGGGAAAATGATAACATTTAAAAACAAGTTTATAGGTCATGTTTAAGGCAGATAAAATATTATAATGCAACATTATGAATAACTTTTTAAAAATGCATCTGGAGTGAGGAATTTTCCCTGAATTTTAGCTGTAAACATTTGATTATTCTGAATTATCAATCAGCAACCCATCTTAAAGCAATAACAATAGATAATTGTAAACGATATTTTTAGTGTGTAGATGTGTTGAATTCTTAAAAAAAAAAATCCAAAAATGATTTTCCATTGCCAAACAGTTTGTAATATATTTTGTAAAGAAACAGAGTAGTACAGTAAACACTTCAACTCACTATCCAATCAAAGACCCACAAACAGTTGCTTGTGCTGTTGTTGCTCTGAAGTTAGCATAATCAAACTTGATGTTCATAATCAGAAGGAGGTTCAGCCAAACAGATTTATGCCTATTAACATCTAAGATGGGAAACAAGGCTTTGTTTTTCTTTTCTTTTTTTCCCTTTCTTTTTCTTTTTGACAGTTGTTGCTGTTAGTTGAGAAGTCGTGTCTGACCCATCGCGACCCCATGGGCAACGTTCCTCCTGGCCTTCATGTCCTCTACCATCCTCTGAAGTCCATTTAAGCTCACGCCTACTGCTTCAGTGACTCCATCCAGCCACTTCGTTCTCTGTTGTCCCATTCTTCTTTTGCCCTCAATCTTTCCCAGCATTAGGCTCTTCTCCAGTGAGTCCTTCCTTCTCATTAGGTGGCCAAAATATTTGAGTTTCATCTTCAGGATCTGGCCTTCTAAAGAGCAGTCAGGGTTGATCTCCTTTAGGACTGAGTGGCTTAGTGCTTTTCCCTACTTTCTTCAATTTAAGCCTACATTTTGCAACGATCAACTCCTGGTGTTGTTTTTACTGACTGTATAGAGCTTCTCCATCTTTGGCTGCAGAGCATATAGTCAATCTGATTTCTGTGTTGACCGTCTGGTGATGTCCATGTGTAGTCATCTCTTGGGTTCTTGGAAAAGAGTGCTTGTTTTGACCATGGTTTTTTGGTGATAATTCTATAAAGTGCTGCAGGGCTTCATAGAACTGGTCAATTTCATCCTCTTCAGTACCAGTGGTTGGGGCATAGACTTGGACTACTGTGATATTGAATGGTTTGCCTTGGATTCGAACTGAGATCATTCTGTCATTTTGGGGATTGTATCCCAGTATTGCTTTTCCTATTCTTTTATTGAACATGAAGGCTACTCCATTTCTTCTGAGGGTTTCTTGCCCGCAGTAGTATACCTGATGGTCATCTGAATTAAATTCACCCATTCCTGTCCATTTTAGTTCGCTGATTCCTAAGATGTCAATATTCAGTCTTGTTATCTCTTGTTTGACCATGTCCAGCTTGCCTTGATTCATGGATCTTACATTCCAGGATCCTATGGAGAAAAAATATTTGCAGCATCAGACTTTCCTTTTACCACCAGATGCATCCACAGCTGAGTTCCTTTTGGCTTTGGCCCAGTTGCTTCATTCTTTCTGGTGCTACTAGTACTAGCCCTCTGCTCTTCCCCAGTAGCATATTGGACACCTTCCGACCTGAGGGGCTCATCTTCCGGCATCATATCTTCTTTCTTTTTGGTACTGTCCATTGGGTTTTCATGGCAAAGATACTGGAGTGGATTGCCATTTCCTTCTCCAGTGGATCACATTTTGTCAGAGGTCTCTGCTATGACCTGTCCATCTTGGGTGGCCCTGCAGGGCATAGCTTATAGTTTCGTTGAGTTACGCAAGTCCCTTCGCCACGACAAGGCAGTAATCCATGAAGGGGAGGAGGGAAATAAGGGACATTTTTTTTAAAAAAAATGTTCTGTTTTCTAGATTGTGTGAGGAAAGCTAAACAGTGGCCAGTAAACAGATTTCTCTTAGCAGAATGCATTGAATGGGTTTCTCACATCTTCATTTATATATATATATATATATATATATATATATATATATATATATATATATATGCAACATACAGCAGAATTGTATTCTTAAATTGTGAATAGAAAATGTTTATATGAATAGTAATATTAATTGTTTTTCAGGTTTCTGAAAAATATTTTAGAGGCAATGGGATTATTTCTTTTACATTATATTAATAGGATTTTGAATGTACTTTTAATATAACCAAGCACAAAAAGAAATCAGATAGCAGAATTACGAGCCTATTGTAATATATTGTCTTGACACTCTCAATACAGATGTTTATTAGGCTTAAACAGGCAGCCTACTCAAAACCAAAAATGTATATTGCAAAAAGAAAGAAATGGCAGTTCTCCTGTGTTGACAAGTAAAAGCTGTATTTGCAGTCTGCTTTTTATTGGGGAGGTCTTATTATTATTTTGTGTTGCATGGAGTAAGATGGGATTCCTCTTGCTGTCTTACCTGATTTCCAACTCTGCTTTTAAATATTTTCAGGGAGGGTTTATTTTTGTGGGGAGGCTTATTTTAGCACATGCACTCAAAAGCCCAATTGGGCTTATTATTAGGGAATGTCTTATTTTCAGGGAATTATGAATTATAATTCAGGGAATTATGATATTAAGAATATCATAAAGAAAAAAGACAGTATATAAAGATGTAACAGAATAACAGAATTGGAAGGGAACATGGATGTCTCCTGGTATAACCCTCTGCTTAAGAAGAAGCATAGAAAAAAAATCATCCACAAATACTAAGAAAAAACACACATTTATTTACACCTTCTAAGCAAATAAAATGGTGATAAGAAATTAATCATCTGGTTCTGGTTTTCCTGACCCAAAGGGCCAAGGAGAGATGCTAGCTGTTTTTCTAAAGGTCTTTAAGGTGTGGACCAATGTTAATATTAAAAATGCCTTGTAAACCTTCTTAAAGTTTATTGTATGTTATTGTATCAATAATTATTTATTAAAAAGGAAGAATTGCTCAGTGATAGAATGGTCTACAATTTTTGTGTCACTTGAATAATTTTAGCCATTTACTAGAAGTAGCATGCTATAGAACCCATCAGTCAAGGAACTTCAACTAAGAGGTTCTAGGAAAAGAGCCTTCTTTGCCATGGTTACAATCTTGCTGCTGGAGATGATATATGACCCCACCCTTTAGGCCTTCTGGATTGACCTCAAAACCTGTCTCACACAATTGGCTTGGGACCATTATGGGCAGTGAAGGGTTGCCCCTAGTTTGCACGGGTTTTATAGAACTGGTAGTAAAACTGGCGGGAGGCTCTCCCCACCAACCCAACATCATCAAAATGCGTTTGCACATGCACAGAAGGGCACATGGCCCCACTGCGAACTGGTAGTAAAGGTAAGTAGAACCCACCCCTGATGATGGGGGTGCTTTACACTATTGTGTGAGCTTTTGTGTGAGGGGAGCTATAGTAATTTAATTCCCTTTTTCAGGAGGGAAGGGAACTTGGTAAAAACCAAGTTTTTATAGCTCTTATACACAGGTATAAAAATGAGGTAAGAAGAAAAAGGTAGCTCTTGTATCCTTCTGATAAGGTGGCAATCTCTTTCTTATTTTCTCTGTTCTTATATCCACTGGGAGTTGATATTATTTTGACTTCCTAGATATTTGTAAAAGTTAAATCCAACCCTAGCTCTCCAGAATCGGGGGGAGGGGAAGGGGAAACAAACAGGCACCAAAGGGTACAGTCTCCCATGGGATTGCCAATGATTAACTGTATTTGACTGAAGATTGTAAAACTACAGTTTTTTAAAGAAAGATATTGGATATCTACAACGTGTGGTTCCTATACATCATAAATGCAAAATAGATCTGTCAGATTCATAAATGTCATGTATAATAATTTTGCTGTTAGCTGCTGCTGCTGAAGACGTTGGAAAGATTCTTGAATGCAAGTAGTGTTTTTTTTTCCTTCATAAGAATCAGAAGCACTGCCTGAAAAGCCAAAGTATTGCTTTATTTGTTTATGGTAATTATTGCAACACAAAGTTCAAAAAATTCTTGTGAAATCCTCTCTTAGCTCTTGGCAAGATCGTATTCTTATTCCGTAATACTGTCTTCTCCCAGATTCCTTGACAACAAAGAAACAAACAAAAAACGAGGAAGGGATGGTAGCAGCTGGGAGAAATCCACTGAGATTGCCAAACTGCCGAACTGAGGTTTGGTAGTTGAGACATTGCCTGAAGAGCTATGAAGAGCTGGCTACTCTTGGTTGCTGCTGTTCTTCTCTGGCCTGGGGGCTCTTCTCAAAATGGTAAGTTAAGAAGAAAAGAAATCAAGGGGTTACTAAGGAAAGCAGCTTCTGCTGCGTTCATCAAAGAAGCAATTTCTTTTAGCAAAAGCAAAGAGTTCCATTTTCCACCTGTGGCTTTCTGGAAATTTGTAATGGCAGATTCTTTAAGGATATCATAGACTTACAGTATAATTCCAATCCCCTTCTTAAATGCAAGATTTTTGAGCAACTGATTTGTGTATAGCAAAATACCTTGCATCAGTATTGTAAATTCACACCTGTTGCGAAGGACTTTGCTTCAGTTAATAAAAAAGAGGATAGGATGATAACCAAATGATTACCATGTCTAATAACGCTACTTTATGTTTAATGGTTTATTTTGCTTATAAACAAAAAAGATCCTCAAAAGTTGAAATGAACAGATGTAAAAATGGAATATATTTATATTATATAAATATAATTTATATATCTACCATATTTCTACCATAATTTAACCCAAGTACATGCTATCAGTACGAATCTACATTCCCCCCCCCCAATTTTTCTCTCGTCTTCCTTCTAGATGGGGTGATTTTATGAGAGCCTCCATTATGCCTTGAGCTGCCCCTATAGCACATGATACATGCATAAAAACATAGATCATCTAGGAACCATAACCTGTTCCAAGGAGACCAGTCAGAAGTTTGAAATTTTAGAGATGTATTTCAGTTGTGTTTATATCAGGATACATACAAAAGTAATTAGTATGTATCTTAATTCACAGTGATAATATCCTTTAGGAGAAGAAAAAGAGGGAAATATTCACATCTCAAGACATTGAAGCTAAGATTACATTTGCTTATATTCACATTAATTGAACCTTTGAGCAATTAATTAATTAATTAATTAATTAATTAATTAATTAATTATCACTGTTTTTGATGGTTGCCTGACAGTTGCCTGGGCTGGGCTTTCTTCTTTTCCCTTTTTTAATCAATTGATTTATGTTTCTTATATGGGGGGGAAAAGTAAGAAAAGTATTGACCCTGTAAACGTAGACGACAGAAGGTGTTCCTTTCCAATAATTGTAAAATTAACATTTGAACAATAGGTAATGATTGCCATCTTGTATCTAGCTGTTACTTTCAAATTCGATAGCTGAAGGGTTAGAGATATTCTACAATTATTTTCTTCCCTGCTTCTGCCCACCATTGCTGTTTTGAATGAATATTTGTGCTCTCTACACTGTATAAACTCTCTCTCTCCCTCCCTCTCCCTCCCCCTCTCTCCCACTCCCTCTCTCTCTCTCTCTCCCCTTCAATATCTCACAATTGTATTCTACTATGCTCTATCTCTAAAAAAGATAAGGAAAGGAAAGGTGAGAGAATTATAGCCTATAGAATAAATTCTCAGCTGGCACCATTTAAACTTGATAACAAGAAAGAAACTATAGATAATAGATATTGATAAATTAATAGTAAGAAATGGATTTATTTCTCTGGGGAAAGAACTGTTGCCAGCTTTAACATTTTTGAGTCAGATATTGCTGAGGAAGTATATAGGGAAAGATGAGAGGGTGATTACAATTAACAAAAATTTATTGTTGAAAATCTAATATGTACAATATCAGAAAGATTCCTTCAGGACCACCCATGTTTAGCCACGGTAAGTACCGGCAAGGAGGAAATGCCACAGAATCCTTTACAAAGAAGTTGCTTTGGGGGGGCAAGTTTGCTAGCCCTTCAACCTCTCTCTATCTCCCCATCCACAGAGTTGCTTAGGTTACGCTTCAGCAAGGGAAGGTTACATATTACAGGCAGTCATTTTTCATTTTTTTTCATTTTTCATTTTTATTAAATTTGTATACCGCCCTACTCCCGAAGGACTCAGGGCAGTGAACAGCCATAAAATAAAACATGTAGATACAAAATTTAAAATAGAGATAAAACTAATTAAATAAATTTGGCTGAGACATTTTAAAACCCCAATAAATTAAAACCAAATTTAAAATTCCATTTAAAAGAGGAAAAGTTTAGGTCAGGCCAGCTTGATGGAATAAAAACGTCTTAAGCGTGCGACGGAAGGTACGCAGATCCGGAATCCTCCGTATCTCCGGGGGGAGCTCGTTCCAGATAGTAGGTGCCCCCACAGAGAAGGCTCTCCCCCTGGGGGCCGCCAGTCGACATTGTTTGGCCGACGGCACCCGGAGGAGCCCCTCTCTATGGGAGCGTACTGGTCGGTGGGAGGCTATTGGTGGCAGCAGGCGGTCCCGTAAATAGCCAGGTCCTAAGCCATGGAGCGCTTTGAAGGTGATAACCAAGACCTTGAAGCGCACTCGGAAGACCACTGGGAGCCAGTGCAGCTCGCGCAGGAGAGGCGTTACATGGGAGCGCCACGTTGCTCCCATCACTACCCGTGCGGCCGCACTCTGCGCCAGTTGGAGCCTCCGAGTGCTCCTCAAGGGGAGCCCCATGTAGAGAGCGTTACAATAGTCCAGACGGGAGGTGACGAGGGCATGAGTGACCGTGCGTAACGAGTCCCGATCCAGAAAGGGACGCAACTGGCGAATCAGGCGGACCTGATGAAAAATCCTCCCGGTCACGGCCATCAAGTGCTCTTCTAAAGACAGCCGTGAATCCAGGAGGACACCCAAGTTGCGAACCCTCTCCGTGGGGGCTAATGCTTCGCCCCCAATAGTCAGCGATGGCACCAGCTGACTATATCGGGACGTCGGAAACCACAGCCACTCGGTCTTGGATGGGTTGAGCCTGAGCCTGTTCCTCCCCATCCAGATCCGTACGGCCTCCAGGCACCAGGACATCACTTCAAGGGCATCGTTGGGGTGGTCTGGGGTGGAGATGTACAGCTGGGTGTCATCAGCGTACTGATGGTACTCCACCCCGAAACCACGGATGATCTCACCCAGCGGCTTCACATAAATGTTGAACAGAAGGGGCGAGAGGACCGATCCTTGTGGCACCCCACATATAAGGGGCCTCGGGGTCGACCTCTGCCCCCCTGTCAACACAGACTGCGACCGGTCGGAGAGAAAGGAGGAGAACCACCGTAATACGGTGCCTCCCACCCCCAACTCTTCCAACCGGTGCAGCATGATACCATGGTCGATGGTATCAAAAGCCGCTGAGAGATCTAATAGGACCAGAACAGAGGAACAACCTCTGTCCCGAGCCCTCCAGAGATCATCCACCAATGCGACCAATGCCGTTTCCGTGCTGTACCCGGGCCTGAAACCCGACTGGAACGGATCTAGATACGTCGTTTCATCCAGGTACTGGGGAAGCTGTCGTGCAACCACACTCTCAACAACCTTCACCACAAAGCGAAGGTTGGAGACTGGACGATAGTTAGCCAATGTTGCCGGGTCCAGGGAAGGCTTCTTGAGGAGAGGTCTCACCACCGCCTCTTTCAAGGCGGCGGGAAAGACACCCTCACCCAATGAAGCATTTATAATCCCCTGGAGCCAGCCTCGCGTCACCTCCCGGGAAGCCAGCACTAACCAGGAGGGGCACGGGTCCAACAAACATGTGGTCGCATTCAGTCTACCCAGAATCCTGTCCACGTCCTCAGGGGTCACAGAATCAAACTCATCCCAGATAACATTCTCAGGACCTGCCCCCGTCATCCCTGCTGGATCTACCCAGTCAGAGTCCAGATCTTCCCGAATCTGAGTGATTTTGTCATACAGATACTGAACAAAATCCTCGGCTCTTCCCTCCAAGGGGTCCTCCCTCGCTTCCTGGTGGAGCAGGGAGCGGGTCACCCTAAACAGGGCGGCCGGGCGGTTATCTGATGACGCAATAAGAGCAGCAAGATAAGTGCATTTTGCTGCTTTTATTGCCACTAGGTAATTCTTAAGATGAGATCTTACCAGTGTCCGGTCAGATTCAGTACGACTGGCCCTCCAACTACTCTCTAGGCGTCTTTTCTGGCGCTTCATCTCCCTCAGCTCCTCAGTAAACCAAGGAGCCAGGTGAGATCGACACCGGGTCAGAGGCCGCAAAGGCACGACTCGGTCCAGAGCTCCAGCGGCCGCCCTATCCCAGGCGGCCACTAGGTCTCCAGTCGAGGCGTGAGCCAGAACCTCAGGAATTGGCCCAAGCTCCATCTGGAACCTATCAGGTTCCATCAGGCGCCTGGGGCGCTACCATCTCATCGGTTCCGCCTCCCTGTGGCGGGGTGCAGCGGTTCGAAGGTCAAGGCGAAGGAGAGAGTGATCTGACCATGACAAGGGCTCGATGACTATGTCCCCTATCTCGAGATCACTCAGCCACTGTCCAGAGACAAAAATCAGGTCCAGTGTGTTTCCCCCCATGTGCGTAGGGCCATGAATTAGTTGGGTCAGATCCATAGCCGTCATGGAAGCCATGAACTCCCGAGCCACCTCAGACACCTCACCCATGGACGGCAGGTTGAAATCCCCCATGACCATTAGTCTGGGGGTATCAACCGCCACCGCGGCGATAACGTTGAGTAGCTCGGGCAGGGCTGCTGCCACGTGGCAGGGAGCCAGGTACGTGATCAGCAAACCCCTCTGAACCCCATGACCCCACTTCACAAGGAGGGTCTCACAACCGGCCGTCTGAGGAACAGTGGCCTCCCTCGGCCTAAGGCCTTCTCTAATAATAACCGCTACTCCCCCGCCCCTCCCCTGTGACCTCGGCTGATGGAATGCCAGGAAGCCTGGTGGGCACATTTCTACCAGAGGGACCCCTCCCTCCGGGCCCAACCAGGTCTCCGTAATACCCGCCAGGTCCGCTCCCCCCTCCTGAACCAGATCACAAATGAGGGGGGCTTTATGTATTACGGACCTGGCGTTGCACAACATCAGTCGAAGGCCCGGGCTCTGAGGGTCTGTACAACCTGGAGAACGAGTGGAGCCTTGGGGGCCGGAGCACGCTACCGCTCGGAGACAGCGGGTGCGCGCTCCCTTAACATGATATGGCCCCCTGCTCCCACCATATCTACCCCTCCCACTCACAGTACCGATGATAGAAACACAATCTGGACAAGCTCGACCCCCCCCATCACCTCCGGATCCCCCATCCCCTCCGCTGTGCATAGTGGCCAGGCCTGACCCTCCCCTTGGTGGGTCTTCCCCCAAACCCACAACCCTAGTTCCAATTTTTCCCTCCCCCCCGGGACCCCTTAAAAATTTACCCAATTTACTTAAAAAACCCCTCAACCCCCTCTTCGCGGCATGCCACCTCTATGGGTTCCAAAGCCCGTCATTGAGGTAGGCCCTCGATAATGTGGAGGGCCAAACCTGCGAGAGGGGGGAGTCTCGCAGCGCAAGAAGCTCAATGGTTGAATACATCCACAAAATGGGAAAGGGTGAAAATGGCGTCTGGCCAGGGTTCCATAAAGTCTAAAGGTCCTGAGGACAAAAGGCAGCAACAAAAACGTGGGTAACGACTCCACTGTCCTCTCACGTCCTTGAGTTATACCTTAATGGAGACTTTCCATCACAGTTATGCAACATGTTATGATCATAAAGTGAGTCAGTCATGAGAGTGACTAGATTTTATAAATATGTTTGTGGTGGCCATTAAATGAATTATCACAGTCATTAAGTGAATATGTATTTGTTAAGTATACCAGTGGTTCACCATTGGTGTGGTTTTGCAGTAAACCAGAATTTAATTTAATATTTAAATTTATATACTGCCCTTCTCCCAAAGGACTCAGGGCGGTGAACAGCCAGAAGTAAAAAACATCAAATACAAAATTTAACAACAATTCAAAAATAAATTAAACATTTTGGCCCAACAGTTAAAATCCCCCATTAAAAATCCAAATTAAAATACACAATTGGAGAGATTAGGCCAGCCCAACTTGATGAAATAAAAAGTTTTGAGGGCCCAACAGAAAGTACGTAAGTCCGGAATCATCCGTATCTCCGGGGGGAGCTCGTTCCAGAGGGCAGGTCTCCGACAGAGAAAACTCTCCCCCTGGGGGCCGCAGGTCAGCATTGTTTGGCCGATGGTACTCGGAGGAGCCCCTCTCTGTGGGAGTATACTGGCCGGTGGGAGGCTCTCGGTGGCAGAAGGCGGTCCCGTAAATATCCAGGCCCTAAGCCATGGAGCGCTCTAAAGGTGGTCACCAACACCTTGAATCGCATCCAGAGGACCACCGGGAGCCAGTGCAGCTCACGCAGGAGATGATGCTCCCATAATCACCCGCGCGGCTGCATTCTGGACCAGTAGAAGCCTCCGGGTGCTCTTCAAGGGGACCCCCATGTAGAGAGCATTGCAGTAGTCCAAGTGGGAAGTGATGAGGGCATGAGTGACCGTGCGTAAGGAGTCCCGATCCAGAAAGGGACGCAACTGGTGAATCAAGTGAACCTGATAAAAAGCTCCCCTGGCCATGGCCGTCACATGCTCTTCTAAAGACAGCCGTGCATTCAGGAGGACACCCAAGTTGCGAGCCCTCCCTGTGGGGGCCAACGACTTGCCCCCAATAGTCAGAGATGGGACCAACTGACTATATCGGGATGCCGGAAGCCACAGCCACTTGGTCTTGGATGGGTTGAGCTTGAGCCTGTTTCTCCCCATCCAGATCCATACGGCCTCCAGACCCCGGGACATCACGTCAAGGGCATCATTGGGGTGGTCTGGGGTGGAGATGTACAGCTGAGTGTCATCAGCATACTGATGGTACTTCACCCCGAAACCACAGATGATCTCACCCAGCGGCTTCACATAAATGTTGAACAGAAGGGGCAAGAGGACCGACCCACGCGGCACCCCACATACAAGCCGCCTGGGGTCGTCCTCTGGCCCCCCGTCAACACAAACTGCGACCGGTCAGAGAGGAAGGAGGAGAACAACCGCAACACAGTGCCCCCCACCCCTAACCCCTCCAACCGGCGCAGCATGATACCATGGTCCGTGGTATCAAAAGCCGCTGAGAGATCTAACAGGACCAGGATAGAGGAACAGCCCCTGTCCCGAGCCCTCCAGAGATCATCAACCAACGCGACCAATGCCGTTTCCATGCTGTGCCTAGGCCTGAAGCCCGACTGGAATGGATCGAGATAGACCGCTTCATCCAGGTACTGGGGAAACTGTCGCCAGAAAGCGAAGGTTGGAGACTGGATGATAATTTGCTAAAACAGCCGGGTCCAGGGAGGGCTTCTTGAGGAGGGGCCTCACCACCGCCTCTTTCAAGGCGGCGGGAAAGTAGCCCTCTCTCAAAGAAGCGTTAACAACCCCCTGGAGCCAGCCTCATGTAACCTCCCGGGAAGCCAGCACCAACCAGGAGGGACATGGGTCCAATAAACAAGTGGCTGTGCTAAGTCTACCCAGAATCCTGTCCACGTCTTCAGGGGTCACTGGGTCAAACTCCTCCCAGATAACGTTCTCAAGACTTGTCTCCATCACCCCGCCTGTATCTACCCAGTCAGAGTCCAGGCCTTCCTGGACTTGATTTCCTGGATTTGAGCAACTTTGTCATGCAGATTCTGCACAAAATCCTCAGCCCTGCCCTCCAAGAGGTCCTCCTGTGCTCCCGGATGGAGCAGGGAGTGGGTCACCCTGAACAGGGCGGCTGGGTGGTTATCTGCAGATGTGATAAGAACGGAAAAATAATTAAACTTTGCCATTTTTATCGCCACTAGGTAGGTCTTAATATGAGACCTTACCAGTGTTTGGTAGGATTCGGAAAGGCTAGCCCTCCAACTGCTCTCTAGGCATCTTTTCCGGCGCTTCATCTCCCTAAGCTCCTCAGAGAACCAGGGAGCTAAGTGAGATCGGCAGCGGGTCAGAGGCCGCAAAGGCACGAAATGGTCCAAAGCTCCAGCGGCTGCCCTATCCCAGGCAGCCACCAGGTCTTCAGTCGGGTTGTGAGCCAGAACCTCAGGGAAAGGCCCAAGCTCCGTCTGTAACCTATCAGGATCCATCAGGCGCCTGGGGCGGAACCACCTGGTCAGTTCCGCCTCCCTACGGCGGGGTGTAGCAGTTTGAAGGTCAAGTTGAAGGAGAGAATGGTCAGACCATGACAACCATTAAGCCACTGGCCAGAGATGAAAACCAAGTCCAGAGTGTGTCCCCCTATGTGTGTAGGGCCATGAACTAACTGGGTCAGGTCCATGGCCATCATGGAAGCCATGAACTCCCGAGCCGCCTCAGACTTTTCGCCAACGGACGGCAGGTTGAAATCCCCCATAACCATAAGTCTGGGGGTATCAACCGCCATCCCAGCTATCATGTTGAGCAGTTCAGGCAGGGCCGCCACCATGTGGCAGGGAGCCAGGTACATGATCAGCAGGTCCACCTGCACCCCATGATCCCACTTCACAAAGAGGGACTCACATCCGGTTATCTGAGGCACAGTGGCCTCCTTCGGACCAAGACCTTCCTTTATAACAACTGCTACCTCCCTGCCCCTCCCCTCAATCCTTGGCTGATGGAATGCTCGGAAGCCTGGTGGGCACATTTCAACAAGGGGAAACCCCCCCTCCTGGCCCAACCAGGTCTCTGTAATACGGAGGCCAGATCCGCTCCCCCCTCTTGAACAAGATCACAAATGAGGGGGGCTTTATTTACAACGGACCTGGCATTGCACAACATCAGCTGAAGGACCAGGCCCTGAGGAGAAGTAAATGCTTTGTACTTACTTAGATTTTCATAAATCTTAGAGAATCTTATTTAGATTTTCACATGACCCTGTCATAAAACAGGGTCATGTGTACACAGGATGCTGCAATTGACTGTAAATACAACCCAGTTGCCCAGCACCAAGGTGCACTCATCTGACCGAAGCAGGGGGTGAGTGCTGAAATTTTGAATCTGGATCATAAGCACTCCACAAGTAAGTTCCCTGGCATTTCAAATGATCGCTAAATTGAGGATTACTTATAGTTAAGTGTCCAGCAAGCATTGGTTTCTTAGTTAAGACAAAAGTGGGAAATAATTATCTAACTTGGGTTTGTTATCTCCAGTTCATGGGAAGTTCATGAGAGTAAATAGAAAAAGTGAGCTTGTCTAAGCAAATAAGATAATTTTATGTAAATATAATTTCAGCATGTGAAGAACCAGATGAGATTGACTTTGGGGAAATTGTGAGTGCTGAGAAAGCCAGGAATCTGGAAAATGACCGAGTGCAATACAGGTGCAACCCTGGCTATGTCTTGCAGGGACCTGAATGGATTCAGTGTAAGGGACAAAAATGGACACCTCATCCACCAAAATGCTTGGGTAAGGCATCATGCTTTTTTTTTTTACTAGTGTAGACCTGGGAGAAAATGCTGAATTCATCCAATAGGAGAAGAATTATAGCTGCCAAATTCTTTGAGAATTGGATTGAATTTCCATCTGAAGCCAGGCTTTCCTCTGAAGCCATAAACTGTGCTGGTGTCATCTTCTTCCATTCGAAAGCTAAAAAAAAAATTAAACTGATCCAAATTGTTGAATGAGCAAGCAAAATAGTAGATATAATTAAATGATATTCAACTGGAAGCTCATTCAAGAATGCTGAGTAACTGTGGGATACAATTACATCTGGTTACGGACTCAGTGGTTAATAAAATAGGAAAGTGAATTCTTTTGCTATGGAATTCAGCCAGCTAGAATGATGTAGAAGGAAAACTTTTGAGTCTAGTAATTACAATTTATTCAGCACATTTACTCAGTTTCCTCCATGATCTTTCCATCTCTATTAATAATACAAAACTAGATCCCATCATCCTTGTAGCTGGTACAGTTGGGTAAATCATCACATTCTTACATCCTTTGTGCAAAAACTGTCTAGGAAATAACGAAAGCTCAGACAATTCAGCACAGTTTGTCAAGAGGTTATTCAGAGGACAAAATACTTCACTGAAACATTTCTGGCCAGGACTCAGATTTCTTTTATCTGACTGGTGCCTTGGTAGTGACTTTTCCTCCAGTTCCCCAAAGTTATTCCTTATGCTTGTTATTGGATATTAGGATGTCATTAATTCAACAAACCCCTTCATGAATTACTGCCATGTCATGGCAAAGGGGCTTGTAAAGCTCAAAAGCTATAAGCTAAGCCTTGTGGGGTCACCCAAGATGGACAGGTCATAGGAGAGTTCTGACAAAATGTGGTCTACTTGAGAAGGAAATTGCAACCCACACCGGTATCCTTGCCAATAAAACCACATGAACGGTACCAAAAGGCTAAACAATATGATGCTGGAAGATGAGCTCTTCAGGTTGGATTGTGTCCAATATGCTACTGGGGAAGAGAGGAGGGCAATTACAGGTAGCACAAGAAAGAATGAAGCAGCTGGGCCAAAGCTGAAATGACACTCAGCTGTGGATGTGTCTGGTGGTGAAAAGAACAATATTCCATAGGAATCTGGAATGTAAGATCTATGAATCAAAGTAACATGGATCTGGTTGAACATGAAATGGGAAGATTGAAAACAACATCTTGGGAATCAGTGCAATTAAAGTGGATGAGAATGAGCAATTTTAATGGAAAAACAATACAGGGATATAAACTCAAAAATGACAGAATGATCTTGGTTAGAATTCAAGGCAAAGCCTTCAATATCATAGTAATTCAAATCTATGCCCCAACCACTGATGCTATAGAGCAGGTGTCAAACTGGATTTCTTTGAGGGCCAGATCAGCGTTGTAATTTTCTGCGGGCCAGCAAGGACTGGGGGGGGGAAGTGTGGGGGGGAGACGGGATGGATGTCTCCTGCAGCACTTTGCTGGCCAAAATAGGGTGCGGGGGTGCATGCCCCCCCACAGCACATTTTTGCCTGGCAGAATGCTGCTGGAGGTTGGGGAGGCCAAAAATAGCCCACACCACAGAGATCTGTGAGGCCTCCACACGGCCTGTTTTTGGCCAGCAGAGTGCTGCTGGAGGCCAGGGAGGCCAAAAACGGGCCATAGGGGGGCCTTGTGGGGCCTCCATGCAGTCCATTTTTAGCCAGTAGAGGCACTGCAGGCCAGTTCTTTGATATTTCCAGGCCAGCCCTATGGGCCAGGTTTAAGCACCCCATCGGCCAGATTTGGCCTGCGGGCCTTAATTTTGACACCCGTGCTATAAAAGCTGAAAATCTACAATACCTTATAGAACTAACACCAAAAAAAGATGTCATTTTCATCATAGTGGATTGGAATTCAAAAAATAGGAAATCAAGATAACCAAAATACTAGCAATAACAAGTTTAGCCATGAAGTTAAAAATGAAGCAGGGCAAAGACCCTGATGTTGAGAAAGATTGAAGGCAAAAGGACAAGGTGACAGCAGAGGATGAGGTGGATAGATAGTGTCATTGATGCAATGAACATGAATTTGGGCAAACTCCAGGAGACAATTGAGGACAGGGGTCCTGGTTTGCTATGGTCTATGGCGTTGTGAAGAGTCAGACATGACTTAGCAACTAAACAATGAAATCACAATTCAATAAGGGGCTTTATAATATTTACTGGATAGCTAAAAGAATGCTTCAAAGTATTGTCTGTCAAACCTGTAATGCTGGAAATGTTAAATGGGTGGAAGAACATTGACTGATAGGATACTGACTTGCCTCATTATTAATAACAATAATCTCATTAATGTGAGCAAAAAGACAAAACTAGAAATTGTCCCATTACAACTCAGTTAACTCAAGACATCTTTGCAGAACATTCTGAATTGTGCTGTGTGTTCTTAACTTAAAACAAACAGAACAACATCTATTTGGCATGCTTCTACAAGCCAGTCCTCTAGCATAGGTCTAAAAACTATAGCAGAATCATAACTTGTTCATCATTAATACTGTGCTCTAACTTAGCTTATTTATATTTGGCCTAGAATTATCCATTGCGACTTGTAAATCTGGTTTATTTTCTTAGTGGTGGAATAGAGGAGAAACCAATTGGCAATTATCTCCCTTCAGAAGATCTACTTTCTTTTCTTTTCTATTTTTTTTAGCACCCTGCAGTATCACAAGGCAACAGCTAGCAACAAAAAACTTGTTTGTATTTGGGAGTCAAAGAAAAGCTCGACTTATTCAGAGTAATCATAGCCTGCAATTTCAGTGCAATGAAGGATATGTCCTTGTGGTTCCATCAGTCAGAAAGTGTGTTGACGGTTACATGGAGTTGCCTTTATGTATCTCTGGTAAGCATGCTGTCAGTATCATAGATTCTGTCAGTGATTTAATCTTCACTGAACTCTCTCACATCTTGGCTTAGAATTTTACTAGCGTAATCTAAATTTTAAAAAATCTGAAGCACATCAGAAAGGAGAAAGATGTTCTGGCAATTCCCCAAACATACAAATTGTCTCTAAGGCTCAGTCTTAACTGAACTTCAGTTAAGAATTATGTTTCCTTGTAGTTGAAAATATGCATAATATTGGTAGACATAGGAATTTGTATCACAAATTGCAAAGGTTGTATCAAAATATGTTGATGTCATATTATTAAAAGAGAATTAAATTTGGAAAGTATTTGATGGTTAAATCAGCCTATAAATAGAAAGTATACTGTGCTATGCTCACAAAGCTGATGGATTATTTTTATGCTGATCAAGTTGAAGAGTTTAAAATTAAAATATTGGGTGCTTGATGAATTAACAGGTAAACTGTTAGCATGTTATTTAAAACAAGTGAGACAGCGACTTCCGGTTGGTGCCGCCGTCGTCGCTAGATGGTCTCCACAAGACCCCCAGCCCTGCCGTCCGTAAAGAGCCGCCTCTACAGCTGAGAGGCGGCTCGAAAAACTCCGAGTTCCACAGGAACCGTGAGGAGAGCTGGCGAGATTAGGTAGAGCCCCCTGTGAAGTATCCAGATTGCTTTTTTTGCTTCTGGGGAGGAAGCAGGATGAGGCTCCCTATCCAGCTTGCCGAGGCTCCAGACCCCAGGGATAACTCTGCACCTAGCAGAGCTACATGACGCGACCAACTTTATCAGTGAAAGTAAAGAGAATTATCAAAATAAACAGGGTGGAATCTGGACCTGAAACTTAAAACTGCAAGTATTTGTACTAGCCCTGTGATTGAATCTAAAGAATGGAGAAAGAGTGAAAGTTTGTTAAAATGGCGTCCGGCTTCAGCAGTAGGAAAAGCTGAAAGCGAAAGTGGATTTGCATGATTGTTTTAATACGCTACAAAGTACCTAAAGTAACAGCGCTGGCTAGAAGAAAACGGAAAAGTCCTTTTTAAAGAGATTTTATAATTTTATAATTTTATAATCAACTTCCTTAATTGATTAAAGTTGTGGAAATTTTTGAGAGGACTTTCTGGTGGTGAAAAGGGAGGGAAGACTTGCTTTTGCAGAAAAAGCTAGACTACGTGGCAGAATGGCTTCAAAGCAAATAAAGCCAGACACTAAAGCTGTAGAGGGGCTCCCCCACTCATAAGTCACAAGAGCAGCCTTCCAGCTTGCAGACGCAGAGCCAAATAAAGGAGAATGGTTTTGAAGACTTGAAGGAATTTATTGTTGTGCTGCTGATGAAACAAGATGAAATTATGGATCAGAAGTTTAAAAAATCTCAACAGGAAATTAAGGAGGTGGTTCAAGAAAAGTATGACAAGGTGAAGCAAGATATATTGACAGTTCTGACTGGCTTCTCAGAAGTAGTTCTCCAGATTGATAAAAAAGTGGAAGAACTTAGCTCAGAAGTAGAATCCAAAATGAAGGAAGTTGATTATAAAATTTCTAATGTGGACAATAAAATGCAAAGGATTGAAAATGAAGTGACAATGATGCAATTTAGACTTATGGAGTTTGCCGTAAGATTGAGAGGCATAAAGGAAAATAACAGAGAGGATTTGAGAAGGGTTTGTGCTGATGCCCTGGCTGTGATGCTAAAGGTTGACCCTGAGGAGATTTTGTGCAAAATTGATAAGGTCTATAGAGTGAATTCTTGGGTGGCAAGGCAAAGGCAAGTGCCTAGAGATGTGGTGATTTACTTTACAGATAGAAGAATAAGAAATGATATCTTACAAAAGTCTTTTGTTTCTACTATTCAAGTGGATGGAAGGGAGATTGGGATCTACAAAGAGTTGCCACCTAAGATGCTAAGAGATAGAAAGGATTTTGGATTTTTGGTGACTGAATTAAAGAAACAACAAATTCTATTTAGATGGGATGCTCCAGTTGGAATAATATTGAGGTATCAAGGAGAGAGATATCGACTAAATACTTTTGAAAAAGCGGAAGAATTTTACCTCAATGTTTTAAAAATTGGCCCAACATCCCCACGTACATCCTCAGTATTAGGAATACAGAAGGGTGATAAAGAAAAACAATTTGAACAAGAGATTGAAATGCAGGGGAAGCAGATGGAGATGGAGGTAATGGAAGCACACGGAGCCACAGCCTACAAACAAATTCTAGAAAAACAACAACAGCAGAGGTCTAAGCCACCATACAAGAAGGAAGTCAAGGGTAAAATTCAAAAACTTGAAGCCATGGGAGGAGCCAAGTCGAATATAACAAGGGGGTAAAATACCCCCTTAAGAGGAAGCAGGCTCTACAAAATTAGAAAATTTTAGACTAATATCTCTCTTGAATATGGATTATAAAATTTTTGTAAAAGTATTAGCCAACAGATTAATGCCAGTTATCTAAGAGGTGATTCATTATGATTAAGCAGGATTTATAGAAGGCAGATATATGAAAGATAATCTGAGGCAAATTACAGATTTATTGGACTATTTTGAGAGGAATAAACAGATCCCTGCAGTGCTGGTGTTTTTGGATGCGGAGAAGGCCTGTGTTCGAGTGAATTGAAACTTTCTATTATAAACTTTGAGAAAGATGGACTATGAGTGTGTTGAAGATAATAGCTTTAAGGCAAGAGGAATACGGGAACAAGAGCATTCGCAGACGATCTGGTTGTTACCCTAACACGATTCATGGAATTAACAATTCAGATGTAAGACATTATAGAAGAAAAAACAAAGATGACCGTTATGGTTGGATTTTGGTTATATCATACGGAATATAAATATAATGTCACTCGGGGGGGGGTTATATATAGAAGTATTCTTCAATGATGGGGGCAGATGGTAATGAAGGACATTAAATATACTGTTGGAAGAAGGGATTAATCTGAGGTGATTGTTTGGATGTTACATATTATCATATATACCTGCAAGAAAGTGAAAGCTTTTTGGATAAAAAATTCGGTGGGTTAGGTAAAATGTCTTGAGGAAAAAACTTTAATTTTCTCCTCAATTGTTTTTATTGGGTATAGTTAAGGATTTTTTTCACTGGGTGTAATATTGGGAAAGGGATGTTATGTTTACTATCAAAGAATGGACTCTGAAGGTGGCCAGTTTTTTGGTGAAGATTTCAGCATATTTAAAAGACCGGACCCAAGATATCTATGTACGGGAGTGGAGAAATGGATGGATTATGCAGAATAAATATTAAACCAGGATGTACTAGATAACATTTAGTTGAACGTCGTGTAGAAATGTATAGTATATATGGGGTAGAATGGTTGTATGTTAGGAAGAAATGTATAGTACACAGGGGGAAGAGTAGATGGATGGTAAAGTATTATAGAATGTGATTTGGATTTGGATTTCACCCTGGGGAAGTCATGGGGGTAGGGGAGGGATAGGGAGGGTTAGGGAGAGAAAGGGGGGAGGGGGAAAATCTGTATTTGTAAAACTTTTTCAATAAAAAAAAACAAGTGAGACAGCAACATAAAGTTTAAAATATCTACATATGATAGTATGAGAATTACAAATGCAATAGAATATACAATAGAACAGATACAATTACAGATCCAACAGAATGAGCGATAATACAACACTGATATTACTATTCAGTTATTTAATCATATCTATGTGTAATAATTTAACTGAAAGACCTTTACAGTCTTTATTAGAACATGATTATGTGTCAGCCTTGCAAAGTAGATCATAGAGAATGTACCATCAGATGAGCTAATTCTACTGTTAAGGTAGGGTTACTTTAACAGAATCTTGCAATCCAAAAGTACATTCCTTCCCCCTGTGCCCTTTACAATCCATGAAACTGGGAGGGTCTCTTCTGAACCGCTTGCCCTGTCTATTCCTGGCATGGACTGTGTTGCCTTTTAAACTGATGGTTCCCTTGGTTGCATTTCTTCCCCTTTTCTCCCAAGGTCATTCCCACATACCATTACTTCATATATTTCTGTACCAATCTTAGCAGTTATCTGAGTCAACATAAAGCAAAAAGTATTTTAACTTATAGCAAAACGAGAGAGAGAGAGAGAGAGAGAGGGAGGGAGGGAGGGAGGGAGGGAGAGAGAGAGGGGGGGAGATTGTTCTAATAGGTTGTACCTGATTTTATTTGAAAAGTTGGACAGAATGCATAATAATGTTAAACCAATTTCTTTATAATTATTATTTTAAGGAATGTCAACAGTTTCAGCTACAATTTCCTGCCCCAAAATTTAACAGTGTCAATATAATCAATTTAATCATATTTTATTGTTAATCAAATTGAATTTGAAATATATTAGAAATTTTAAAAACCTTTAAAGTTGAAAATGCTGATATTTCTGACTTATGGGGTGAAGACTTGGAATATTTGACAATGGAGTATCAATTTATGTAAGACTTTAAAACATGTTAAGTGTTTGTGTTAAGTGTAACTTGAGTTTGAAATGAATTTATGAAAGGATTTTTTCTGAGTTTAGTGGAACATCTGAAAGACAATTTCAGAACGATTTCTGATTGTAGCTGAAATAGATTTTCTTTGTTGCTGGTGTAAGAAAGGTAAGGGCACATCAACTAATTTGATTTGATCACGGCTAATTTTGGTTTTCTTTTGAAAGAATCTTGTAATAAATAGAAATACTGTATATGCAAATATTTTCATGTTAAAGATATGAATGCTGTTTTACTATTTTGAATTACATTCTAAAATGAAGGCATCTAATACTTTCTTAGGAACTTGGAGTTATATCATGCGTAGCCAAGAAAGTTTGGAAAACTGCTATTACTTTAAATATCAAGAAGTGGATTAAAAAATGTATAACATCAATTTTTGAAAAGACCATTCTTTTCTGTAAAGAAAATTTTGTCATAGATTTTATAATAATGACAGATTATGTTTAAGTATAATTTGGAATTATATAATACATATAAGGTGTGTGTGTATTATATAAATTACACACACACACACACACACACACATACACACACACATATATACACACACACATTTAAATTATTTAGATCAGTTTAACCTGTTAATTCTTAGAGAAGAAATTCTAAGTTTATTTATTTATTCATCTTCATGCTTTCATATTTGATAGAAACAGGGCAAAATTGCAGTGGTCCACCAAGAACTGAGAACGGAGACATTACTACTTGATCTGAGAAGCAGTACAGATCTGGCTCTTCAATAGAATTCAAATGCCAAACTTATTATGCCATGGAAGGCCAAAAAAGATCTTTTTGTGATGATGGGACCTGGACAAAGGTACCCATTTGCCTCGGTAAGCGAAAAGAAAGTCTTCATCTAATTTTCATGAGCATTTCTAATAATTAAGAATAACTGCTTTCTCTCTTTCTCTCATAAAAAGAAGATTTAATTGATGTTTCCTGCAGCAGCTCTCCTTTGGATACGATTTCAATTCTATTAACTGAGGTGAAGTAGCTACTAGATGAAAGCTAAATCTAGGTAAATCTTGCAATAAGATAATATGATGCATTTGGATCCCGACAGCCTTCTCGAATAGGATTTGCTTTCTTTTTCACCTCAGATCCCTGTGTGATCTCCAGGACTGAATTGGAAAGCCAGAAGATAGAAGTTAAAGATGGAATAGAGGTGCCTGACAATATATTTGTTCAACGTGGTCTTTCCATTGAGCTGACCTGTAGAACAGGATATGTCCTGGAAGCAAATTCTTCCCAATCAGCTTTTGTAATCCAGTGTGATGGGACACCACCCGTGATTCCTAAATGCAAAGGTGACTCAAAAAGTTTAATTTTACAATTCTGCTATCACCAATCCAGGGGCAAAACACTTCGGTTTGAGTCTATTTATGATTAGAGCTAAAATAAGCTGCAATTATTTATGTGTTTTACTGGTAATTTTTATCCCATCTTGATGCATTCCCAGCTGGGCTGCACTTTTCTATTCTGAAAAGGCTCATTGGAAATTCTTGGGATGTAATTGAAATAGAACAATGTGAAAAGTTTCAGATTGCTGAAGAGGAGTGGTGCAATGAAAGACACATCCATTGGTGGTTTAATGGCCAAGTTAGTGCAAAAACTGCACTCTTCAGATGCTCCCCCAAAGGTCTGCTGTATCATCAATGTAGGGGTAATCTGCATCAGTGGTGGGTTTCTACCAGTTCACCCCGGTTCCACCCACCCACCCACCCAGACGTCATGACGGATGATCTGTGCATGCGCAGAAGTGCCGCGCGTGAACGAAACAAGTTCACAGTTCCGAACCAGTAGCGAAGGTAAGTGAAAACCACTACTGATCTGCATGGCAATATTTTTATATCATTAAAAGATACAGTAATTGCTTTTGCTGATAATAGACTCCATAGCTGAGCTATTGTTTCCATTTTAAAAGAATTTATAAACTATTACCATACCAAAATCTAAATATCAATACCAATAGAAATTCCAACTCCATTTCTAACAAGACTATAGGGAATTCTTTAATTAGTGGGGAAGAATATTGCTGTGCTTTTAATTTTAGCACTAGCAGATTAGGGGATGTCTAGTGAAAGACAGCTCACAATTTTAGTGGCCCAACCTCTCCCAGAACCAGTTGTTCCACCACAGGCATTAGAAGAACTTCATGGAGAAGTTTCTTTGTTTATTCATGCATGCTATTTCTGTACCATGTTGATTCTTATGGATTCTAGGCAGTTTACAGATATTAAAATAGCAATAAAATAATCAAAAATGTTAAATCCAATAACATAATGATTAAGAATAAATCATAAGAAAAATGCACACACGTAGACCTAAATCTGTGTGGTCCTACACTCACTACTAGCTTCAAGAAAACCAGGAGAGTGACTGCCGTTCTCTATTTAGGGCAGCTGTTCCTAAGGAGGGGAGCTGCAAGGAGAAGATGTGATATCACTCCCTGACTAACCTGAAAGCTGGGAACTCTTGCCATCCAGGTTAAACAAACCCTGGTTATCTGGAAAACTCAATGTCATAGATGCCCAAACTCAAGCTATAAGCAACTAATCATGACCAGCCCCTTGATTGTACTCAGAGGCACATTGGTAGCCACTGCAACTTTTGTAGCAATGATGTAATGTAGCAGATCTAAGAGTATATATTGAGCGTACAGGTATTGAATTCTAGACCAGTTGATGTTTTGATGGTATCCCTGGGGCAATGCCAGGAGGAGCTAATTAATTGTTTAATTACATGCCAAGAAGCCGGTATCCACTCTCAGAAATCACATAGATTGATAGTCTCCAGGGAATTTGTCCCACTCTATCCTTCAGGTCTTCCAGCAATGCATCCATCATCACCCTAATTGTCCATCTTTATTGTTGTTGATGATCCACTACCTGAGAGTTATCATGATGGATAGATGACTGCTCCTAATTCTGAGCAGAATTTGAACAGAATGGGAAAAGGAACAAGCCCTGCAAACTCCATCGCAAAGCATTTGAAGGCCTGATTTCTTTCCCCTGTTATTGTTAACTGAAACTGTAGCTTCAGGCAGGAGTAGAACCACTAAAATGTGGAACCCCTAATTTGCAATCTTTGCAGGTGGTTGAAAACACTACTGGGATTGACCGTGTGACTGAATAGCAAGAAGAGAGATATCAAATTGTAGCTTTATATTTCAATTCAAAGCCAAAGTGAAGGGGAAGAATAATTATAGCAACTTGGCGGTTTGCTTCTTGCCGCCGCTAGACGATCCCTTGGGATCGCCGCCCCATTGCCTGTAAAGAGACGCCTTTACAACTGAAAGGCAGCTTGAAAAAACTCCATTTCCATGTGGAAATGGAGATAGAGCCGGCAGGGGCAGGTAGAGCTCTCTGCCTAGCCCCAAAAGTTTTTTTTTTTTACTTTTGGGGACGAAGCAGATGATGCTCCCTATTTCCCTCGCTGTCGCTCCGGGCTTTGGGAGACCTCTGCTTATGCAGAGCTAGGCGACAAGATCAAGCCTACAAAACTAACAGAACAATTAAAAAGGATATGAGCTGGACCTGTGACCCTGAAACACAAGTATTTCATCTATTTTATAACAATTATTGAAGAAGGAAATGGAAAAGGAGAAAAAGAATTTTTTAAAATGGCGACTGCCGAGGCTTGAGAAGGGGCTGAAAGGGAGAGTCCTTCCGTTCTCTATTAAGATACAAAGTAGCGGAATAAATACTTCTGGCTACAATTGAAGAAGCTCTACTTTTGTGTTTTGTTTTTCCTGGAGATCTGATATTGATCTTGGTTGGAAAGAAGTTTTTTTTTTCTTCTCTGCCTCTCTTTTCTTTTTTTTAAAATAGTTTGTCTGTGTGGAAATATGGCATTAAAGCTTGCAAAGCCGGACAAACAAGCAGGGGGGGGGATTCCCCCATTAATAAATTACGTGAACAAGTTCTAAATCTCCAGTCTCAGAAAACTGATTTTAATATAATTGAATTTCTCTTGGAGGAGATTGTAAGAAGGGATGAGATTGTGAATCAGAACTTTAAAAAATTTAAGCAGGAAATTAAGGAATTAGTGCAATCAAAGTTTGATATTTTGGACCGAAAGATCATAAAAGTGGCTAATGGTTTTGCAGAATTTATGATCAAGTTGGATGCAAATACTAACTTATTAGAGTCTAAAGTGGAAGAAATTGAGGACAATTTGGATAATAGAATACAAAAAATTGAAAATGATTTGACAAACACTCAAGAAAATAGCTCAAAAGAAAATCCTAAAATGGAGGCTGATCAAAAGACTTGTAATGCAGAAAACATACAACAACGGATTGAAAGAGAAGTTTTAATGATGCAATATAATTTTACTGAATATGCAATTAGACTCAGAGGACTGCAGGAAAATGACAGAGATGATTTAAGGAAAATATCTTCTGAAATTCTGGCTGGGATTTTAAAGGTTCAACCTGAGGAAGTATTTTGTAGGATTGACAGAGTTTATAGAATAAATTCCTGGATTGCAAAGCAAAGGCAATTGCCTAGAGATGTGGTGATTTATTTTACAGATAAAGATATAAGAAATAATATTGTGCAAAATTCTTTCAATTCTACTTTGCAATTGTTTGGAAGAAAGATTTGGATTTACAAAGAGCTCCCGCCTAAGATGTTATTGGAAAGGAAGAAATTTGGTTTTCTGGTGACTGAGCTAAAAAAAAAGAAAAATTCTATTCAGGTGGGACGCTCCAGTTGGTATAATATTGAGATATCAAGGAGAAAGATACCAACTAAATACTGTTGAAAAAGCGGAAGAATTTTATCAAAAAATCTTGAAAATGAATTTAACATCTTTAGGCACAATACAGGATAAGCAGAAGGAATTGGAAATAAAGGCAAAACATCGAATTATAGAGGCTGCTGTGGATAAATTGCTTTTGGATTCTTCAGACACCTCAGCTGGACTATCTACAAATACGAGAGAAGTGGCATCGGACTCCAACGTGATGATTCATCAAGTCATAGACAAGTATGGAAACCAATTAGCTGATACACAATTGATAAAAAAGAAATATGAGACACAAAGGCAAAACCAACAAGATCAAGTTATAAAGCAGAATGAAAACCGACCAGTTGATATACAATTTGCAGAAAGGAAACCAGGATGGAGATTAAACCCACAAAAAGAAAAGAAAAAAAGAAATAGGTCTCATAAAAATAGAAATTTCTAAATTAAGCAACAGTGAAGCCAGTTATTTTAAAAAATGAATGAATATGTGAAAAGACAGTGGAGGCGAAGTATTGGTTAATATGATCCTAAGGACAGTGACAGACCTCTGCAATGCCATAATTTTGGGATGTGAAAAGAGCCTTAAACTGTTGGATTTGAATTATCTATTTTGGATTTCTTTCTTTTATCGATAAATATATTATAATTATCTTGAGCTATAAGGCAAGAGAGCTACGCTGGGGCATGCAGAAGATCTGGTTGTTACCCATTAGGATGATGGGAATTAATAATCCTGATGAAAGCCACAATTACAACTATATGGAATATAATCATAATGTCACTCGGGTGGTTGTTTTTTTCTTTTATATATATATATATGAGGATATTCATTACTGATGGGGGCAGATGATGACTGAAGATTTTGAACAAACTGTTGCACCAGGATGCTATGTTACCCTATTATGGATGATGGATTTAACAATCTAGAATGTTATTTTGAAATGTATGGTAAAAGGGGGAAGTAACAATATTAATAATATTATTAGTAAGTAAGGGTCAGTATTTAGAGGAGGGAGTAAGGGGATGGTAAAATATTATATAATCTGTTATGAATTGGGTTTTTGTTGTGAAGAAGTCACAGGGGGGGATAGGTGGTGAGGGGGGTTAGGGTGGAGGGGGGGAGAAAAATGGGGGAAAAATTTGTATTCAAAAACTTTTTCAATAAAAAAAAATTATAGCAACTTGCTAAATTTATTTACAATCTTCCAAATAAATAGTAGCCAAGGGCCACTAAAAGTATTTTAAATCAAATTGGTTGATTTCACACTACATTTTAGATACTAATTTGCAGTTTTAAATTAGTTAATGCCCATTAGTATGCATGACTGCTAATGAAAATGGTCTCATTGGATATTTTAAAAATAATAATGATATTGGTTTGTTTTTTGTTTTTTTTTTATAATAGAAAGCAATGCCCATAATCTGATATGAGTGCATATTTCTTTTTTCAATATAAGATATGATTTATTTTCTTTAGAAATTACATGCAATTCTCCAAGAATATCAAATGGTTCTTTCCGACCTCAAAGAACTTTATACCATGATGGGGATCTAATTCGAATTCTGTGTGACAGTGGATTTACTTTTGAACCTGATAATGGAGAAAAGGTAGTTGAGTGCACGAGAAACGGATGGTCACCTTCACCAAAATGTGTCAGTAAGTAGAACTTCCATGTATTGCTAAGACTTATAGAAGGGCTAAGATATTTAACTCTGTGGAAGTGTACTTTTTAACATTATTTCATATAATTTTCCAATTATTTTTGCCCAAGGGATTTATCTCACCCAGAACATTTTGGTAGATTTTACACTTTTATTTATTTATTTGTCAAGCATATATTAGATAGCATATATAAGTATAAACCTGATTATGAATACATGAAATGAATATGAATAAAAGTGGGCATTAGGACAGGGTGGGTAGGCACGTTGGTGCGCTTATGCATGCCTCTTACAAACCTCTTAGGAATGGGGTGAGGTCAACAGTAGACGGTCTAAGGTTAAAGTTTTGGGGGTGTGGGGATGAAACCACAGAGTCAGGTAGTGCATTCCAGAAATTGACCACTCTGCTGCTGAAGTCGTATTTTCTGCAATTGAGTTTGGAGGGATTTACTTTAAGTTTGTATCTGTTTTGTGCTCATGTATTGTGGTTGAAGCTGAAGTAGTCATTGATACAATATCATTTCATTCACCTTAAAAAGATTCTTTCTTTTGAAATACATGTGGGATGTATGCAAGAAACGTGTTTCAACAAAATGTGGATCAGTGTTTATTAACTGCATGAAAATGGTGGGAGTCCCTTGGCATCACCCAGAATTGGTAGCATCCTAGGGGACAATTGAACACTGTCATTTGTCTCCCTCTTAATCCTCACTTGGTAGTATGCCTCCCTCAAGTCCAGTTTAGTGAAGATTTTCCGCCTTGCTAAATAACCTACCATGTTTTCCCAAAAATAAGACTCTGTCTTATTTTCTTTTCGGTCCCAAAATAACCACCAAGTTTTATTTTCAGGAGATGTTTCACCCCCTTTCCCTAGGACCATTGCAGTCACGCTTCCCACACCCTGACACCTGTCACGCCACTGTAAGATGCCACAAGGCTCATAATGCCGCTGCTGCCACTTATGGCAGGATGTCACATGGCTCATCATGCTGGTTCTTCCGCTCACAGCAGAAGGCTGTGTGGTGTGTTGTGTTGTTGTGTGCATGACCATAATGAGACTCACGGAATTCTGCCATGAGCAGCAGCACCAGCAGGACGACCAGCAAGCAGCTGCAGAAGAAGTTGGACAGTGGCATGACAGGTGTCAGGGCATCGGAAACCTGGTTGCAATGGTACTAAAGTAAGTGGTTATGGAGTGCAAGCTCCACCCCCCACCCCTGCCGTAGCTTGATTTTTACTCCTACGCCTTGCTCTACCTCGTACAACCAGATAGTAGGTGTTGCTTAACTAGGGTTTATTTTTAGGATTTGACTTATATTAGGCATAGATGTGAAAATCGGACTGGGGCTTGTTTTCAGGGAAGGTTGTATTTTCAGGGACACATGTCTCTGAAAATTAGGGGGAGACACATAAGCAGTTCAGCCCCTTGTAATCTACGTGAAACCTAAGGGACCCTTCTTTCTCTTCCTTGAAGAGTAGCGGGGCAGCCATTCTTGATTTCACTTCATTCACTGGCTGAATGAACCCCCATTCCAGCTTCTTATCTATAAATGCTTGAAACGCATCTATCTCTTTGGGGGTCATCAAGTACATCTTTGGCTTGGGCAGTTTAGCTCCCGGTATGACCTCTATGCATAGTCAGTGGGTTGATGAGGTGGGAGCACATCTGACTCTATCTCACTAAAAACCTCAGCCAAGTCACAATATTCTACCATAATTAGCAGTTCTTACCCATCTCCTCTTCTTAGTGTATTCGCAGGTTCTGCTTTTCCTTTCCTAACTTCAGGTGCAGGGCTGGTCCTCTGCACTTTCCATGGCCCTTGCCAATTAGAAGCTTTTTTCTGCATCCACCATCTATCTTTGTCCCAATCCACAGAAGGGTTCCACTTTTGCCACCATGCCAGGCCTAGGACCACGGCCTCAGTCATAGCCAGGGATTAAAATAAATTAAATAGTCTCCACGTAGTTCCCTGCCTTGAACTTCACTGGCTCAGTTAGGCAGGTAGCTGGCACACCACCTGTTATAGATTTCTCCAATTGGGAAAATATTATGGGTCACTTCAGCTCCCTCAGTCTCAGTCCAAGTCTCTACACCACCTGAGGGCTGACCACACACCTGGGACAAATCACACCTGACCAACTCACCATGGGGCAAATCTCTGCAGGGCAAGAATCACACTAATATCAAACAAATGGTGGAATAGAATAATTAAAGAAAGGATGCAAACGGAGAGACAAAATGAAATGTGAATGACAAAAATTAAAATTATTTTTAAAATTATTTTAAATAATTAAATTGAATTGTTGAATTATCCTGCAGCAAGTTGGCCATGGTGAGTTTGCTGCATCTTTTTATTTTTTATTTTTATTTTATTTATTTTGTCAAGCACATATTAGATAACAGATATAGATATAAACATGGTTACTAATACATGAAATGGTTACAAATAAAAGGGGGACATTAGGACAGGGACAGTAGGCACATTGGTGCGCTTATGCAGGCCCCTTTTGTTGTCCCGTTCTGTAGATAAAGAACTACTGCTTGTCCTCCAACAGTTTCCCAATCTCACAGAATAATAAAAGTGCTGGATAAAGTCATTTCCTTCCTCACATATTCCTCTCTTGTTACCTCTCTAAGCTCTGACAGTCTTGTGTGACTGGTAGGTTTGGCAGAAGAATTGGGAGCTTTATATTAGGGTTCATTGGAACTCAGTAGAACAAGAAAATAAAGAATGTCATGATTATGAACAGAACAGAACAGAACATCAATTGATTAGTCTTGTGACCTTATCAATAAGATAAAAGAAAAATAAAACACATAATCTGGTTCCAGGATAAAATAGATTCCCTCTGTGTGTAATGGGAAGTTCTCAAATGTGTTTAAAAAAAGGCTTCATTTTGAACAGCATGTTGGCAACAGTAGGATATTTGAAAAAAAGAAAAGAAAAGAAAAGAGGGATGCGTTTAGAGTTTCTCCTGGTTGGGAGCCATTTGATCTTTTTCAAATCAATCAATTGCCTTTTGCAGTATAGAATCTGATTGAGAAATGGCTGCATTTCTGGATGCCCATTCTCATCTATCTTGGTATTCTTTGATTGCCTTTGAGGTAGTCCAGGTCAGGACTCCACCAATTTGACTGGATCTTTATTGATATAGGCCAGTAATGGCTAACCATTTTGCCATCGCATGCCGGGGGGGGCGGGGGGCGGGGGAGGTTCACACCCGCACGTGTCCTCACCTGTAATTCTATGCGCCCCACCTTACACATGCTCACGCAACCCCCTCTTCCACCCCCGCTTCTGGCACATGATGGCCCGGTAGGCCTGTTTTTCTTTCTCACCTGGCTCCAGATCCTCTCCATGCATCTGGGGAGGGCGAAAACAGCCTTCTCCACCCCCTCGGAGATCAAATGACTCTTTACATTGTGTGGGCAAAGAAGGCTAGACTAAAATAACCAATGGAAGCATTATTTGAACTGATCAACATGTGAACAATGTTGTGACTTTAGCTGGCCTAATGTTGATGATATATTTTGTCATAATTTATTTTTGGCCTATATTCTATCTCTCTTGAATCACTTCAGAAAATTGAAGTCTTGTATCCTCTATCCATTTAGATGCAATGTGTCCCACACCCCCTATAGTTGAAAATGCTGAAATTATTGAAGATACAATGAAAAAGTACCTGAATGGCGAGAAAATAAATTATCAGTGTAATGATGGTTTTGATATACATGGATCAGCTGCTGTAACATGTAGACAAAATAACTGGTCACGCTTGCCAAGATGTGTAGGTAGGAATGTATGGTCTATATATATTTTTGCTGAGATTCACAAAATTCACATTGAGAGTGCATTTTTTTAAAAAATCAGAAATTAAATATTATTAATCTGAACCATTCATCCAAGATGAGCTGATCCTGTGTTGTTGCTCTTAATTTTCCTGTTTGACAAGGAAGTTTGATAAGCCTGTGGACATTTCATTTTTTCCACCCATCCCCATTTGCCCAACTTCCAACCCACAGTCCAGCATTCCCCCTCAGGTGGCCTGCAAAAAGGAGCAAAATATAGCCTTTAACTAGTCAGGAAAAAAAAATAAGTTACAACTTAATTGCAGGACTATTCTTCAGAATAATTAGAAAGGATGGGGAGACTCTTGCCAATGGTAACTGGTATCTTGAGCTCTAGAGGGTAGAGACACTGAGAGCTGGGAGACAGGATGAAGCTGAACTTCCTCCAATTTGAAATGTTTTCTTTTCTGTTCAAGAAGAAATGCAGCTCAATACCCTTGGTAATATTTCCTCTGCTTCAGCTTTTCCTAATCGGAGGGTGGGAGTGTCAGTCTCGATATCCAGTCTATGTGAGGTCATGGAAACCCAGCATGAGGGACAGATTTTAGATTAGTACAATATTTGTGTCTGGAAATATCACCTGTGGTTGACTTGCCTACCTTGAATGATCAAGTTTGATTGCATATTTATTTTTCCTCCGCTTCTACCCCATCACAATCTAGAGACTGTTAGCTGCTTATATAGAGTATAAAAACCAAATATAACATCCTCAGTATAATCAACTGTAAAAATAGTAAAGCAACAGAATGGACTAAGCAACCTTTATATTAATCTGTTCTCTCTCATCCAGATCTGATGGTTTCCAAACATCAGCAAAGGATATTGAGACTATCTTCCTCACTGCCTAGAGTAGAGGATCACATTTTTTATTTATTTTTTTATTTTATATATTTATATATTTATATATTTATTTTATGTATTTATTTATTTTGTAAAGCATGTATAAAATAACAGATACAAGTATAAACATGATTATGAATACATGAAATGGATAAGCATAAATGGGGACATTAGGACAGGGATGGTAGGCATATTGGTGCGCTTATGCACGCCCCTTACAGACCTCTTAGGAATGGGGTGAGGTCAACAGTAGACAGTCTACTTGCGTCCATTGCTTTGATATCAATTGTTTTGATATCCAGCTTCATGACAGACTGATTGGAAGGGAAAAGGCCAGAATAGTTCATCATGCAGGGGTTCACTAGATAACTTCTTTTCTGCATGTAGTTCATAGAAGAATTTAAATTTCTTGCAGGATAATCTAGTTATTTATTTATTTACACAAACACAACACTGCCATTAATCTGTGGCTGATCAGATATCATGACAGTATTGATTGAAAGCACCTGGTTTCATTTCTTCAAGAAAAGTAGAAACAGGTGCTGTAGGAGGAAGAGGAGCTTCCTCTGTCTGTAGCCTCACACTCTCCTCACCTCAAAGGGAAGCACCTTCAAGCCTGTAGCATCACCCTTGTATTTTCTGTGCTATAGGATGTGAGTTGACAGTTTTGGTTTCATCATCATCATCATCATCACCATCATCATCATCACAACAACAACAACTTTATTGTCATTATACGTGTATACACAGTATACCCATACAACAAAATTTATTTAACACCCAAAGACCATGTCCAACACACATAATAATCTCCAAACACACTCCTACCCACCACAATTCCCTACCCCTAAACCACCCAAACATCCACACAACGGAACAAGTAATGTTGTCCAGCATCTCACTGATGGTGGCCCTTTAGTTCATTGTTGAGTGCAATTATAGCTCTGGGATTAAAAACTATTCAGAAGACGTGTGGTCTGAGTTTTAATTGTTCTATATCTTCTGTCAGAAGGCAACAGTCCAAAAAGATTGTAAGCAGGATGGGAAGAGTCTCTGAGAATGTTATGCAACTTCCTCAAACAGCAAGATTCAAAGATGTCGTCCAGGGCTGGTAGCTGCAGCCCGATGATATTCTGGGCAATTTTAATGATTCTCTGTAGGGCTTTTTTGTCCGCTACAGAGCTGCTCCCATACCATGCAAGAATATCGTATGTCAGGACACTCTCAATGGTGCTGCGATAGTAGGACAGAAGTAGATGCTGAGATAGATTTATCTTCCTGAGCATTTTCAGGAAGTACAGCCTCTTCGGTGTCTTCTTCACAAGCTTGTTAACATTCATAGTCCATGAGAGGTCCTTCGAGATATAAGTGCCCAGAAATCTAAAATTACCATCCCTCTCTACCTCCTCACCATTTATGTACAATGGTAAATGTACATCTCTCTTCCTCCTGAAGTCAATTATAAGTTCTTTAGTTTTTTTGGTGTTAAGTGTAAGATTATTTTCTTTACACCACAATGTCAGCCCTTGTAATTCCTTTCTATAAACAGACTCATTGTTCTTATTAATGAGCCCCACCACTGTTGTGTCATCCGCAAATTTAATAATTGCACTGGTGTTATACAATAGGGTGCAGTCATGTGTGTACAAGGAATAAAGGAAAGGGCTTAGCACACAATCCTGGGGGGCTCCTGTGCTTAGTATCAGAGTAGAGGAATGGTGAGATCCCATCCTTACTGACTGTGGCCTATCTGTCAGAAAATCCTTTATCCACAAACAAATCCTCTGATTTATACCCAAATTGGACATTTTAAGAAACAACCTGTTGGGTAAAATGGTGTTAAAGGCAGAGCTATAATCCACAAATAACAGCCTCGCATATGTCCCCTGTTGTTCCAAATGATTCAGTACAGTATGGACAACAATAGACTTAGAAGCGGGAGCATGTTTTCAGACATTTGCTTTGGGAAAACCAAGTGCATTTTATTTGAACGGGACAATTTTTTATTTAAATTTTAGATGTAAGATGTTCTTCTCCCCATCGAATTCAAAATGGTCAGATTATTGGTGAAATAAAGGCAAAGTATTTGCCCTGGGAGAAGGTGCAGTATCGATGCTACACAGGTTATGCTCTTCTTGGACCTCCTTTCATTACATGTTCGAAGAATGGTTGGACAGAAACACCACGTTGTACAGATATTTATATGCAGATCTTCACTATGTAGAAATGAAGACAGAATTGGAAATGAATTTGCTTTTACTTCACTGTCTCTTTCATGTTATTTTGAAAAGGTTCTATCAGGCTTTTTCAATATTTTATTGCTAGAATTGTAAAATTTAATGTCCCTGTTGAACTGTGAAAGTACAATATATTTTCATTAACATTGTCCTTCTACAAAAATTTGAATTTCTACTTATATAAATCTATTCAGTTCATTTCATAGCTGGGAGTCTTTTCTCATTTGAAAGAGTATGTGACTTTTGGAGCACAAACATGGATTTCTATTTCAAAATTAGCCTCTCCTTCGCAGTCCTATGATGTCATAGAACATAAAACTGGTTGTTATTTAAAAAATCTCATATATATTACATATATTACTTATGTTAACTTCTCCATCCGTTTTCACACTTATAGTCATCATTCTACCAAGATATGTAGATTGACCCATTTGCTTAATTTCTCCGTTTATTAAAAATTTTGTATTCTCCTTTCCCTTTCAAATTTAATCATTTGAGGGTTTCCTACATTGCTCCTCATTACACCATTCACATGACTAACATTCACTCAAATCATTTACATTCTCAGCCAACATAGTGACTTCACCCATAAATGAAATTATGTTCACATTCATGTCCCCAACCAATGCAGGCCTCCTTATAAGGGCTTATTATACTTTTATAAAGGAATATATAATAATTATGCAACACCGTGTGTGTGTCTCACATATCCATGTCTAACGTCCTGCTTAGTTAAATGCTCCCTTGATTGTCATGCTTGCTTTCTCTCTAATACCTCTATTATCATATTCAGCAACCAACTTTCAACTCTACACAAAATCTTCCAAAATTTCAAGCCAATTTTCCATTATTTCATAATTCACTTATTTTCCTCCAGGGTACCAAGGCCTAGTCAAATACTGTAACCACTTATCATTGAAAGCACATTTTAAAATTTCTCCTGATGTAGCATCAAATTTGCCCATCCCTACCATTTTTCATCATTTTCTGCCTTTTTCTGACTTTTCCTTTGATGCTAATATCAGTAGCATTCAGTTCCATACCTTTCAATTCCATCCTTCAATTTATCCCTATTATTTGCATTATAACTTATATAATAGGAAGGAGGACTTGGGCGATCATCTTCAGGGCCATGTGGAGGAATTTGTGAAATATTTATTTATTTATTTATTTTATTTTATTTTATTTATTTTATTTTTTAAATTTTTATACTGCCCCCTCTCCCAAAGGAGTCGGGGCAGTGTACAGCCAGGTAAAAACACAATACAAATATCACAATTTAAATTTTAAAAAATTATTAAAAATATTACATTTAAGGCCAAAATTAACTAAAAAACCCAAAAATTTAAGAACTCTGAATTTAAAACTCAATTATGAAGCTAGCCCTACCTGTCGGAAAAGTTGCTTGTATCTATTCTCAGTAGGAGACCAAACATAGATCAGGTCCATTAGAGATTCCCAGGGAATGGATTTACCCAGGTATCTGGGAACAGTTTGATTCTGTTAGATCTGAAGAAGTGGACAGGGTCCTCAGGGCTGTCAGTGCAAGTGCCTGCCTATTAAATTCATATCCCTCCTGGCTGGTGAAAACCTCCAGGTGGTGATCAATGCATCACTGCAGAAGGGGGCATCCCTGGGATCTTTTAAGGAGACATTAGTCTCTTCCCTCCTTAGATGCTGTGGGTGACTGGATGGGAGACAATAGGCTTGAACCCTGGTAAGACTATGTTGCTATGGCTGCTTGGAACTTGGGATCTGGGAATTTAATATCTTCAGTTCTGGATGAGGTTGGGGGTTGCAACCTGTGGGTTCTTGTAGACTCACAATGCCTGCTCAATGGCACATGTAACATTTCTGTTACATGAGTTGTACTAGTTGCTGGTTTGCTTCCAGGTCCAATTTAATATGTTAGTTATCATCTTTAAAGGCCTTCATGGCCCAGGGGACTATTTCACCCCAATGAGAGACAAAATAAAATAAAGGGGGGGGATCCATTTACATAGATCTCTAATCATTTTAGCCTATTGCAACATAGAATTTCTAACCTAAATTTTAATTGCTTTATCAAATGAATTCCTCAGTGTAAAACTTTCTATTTGTCATCTGATCTGTGTCCTTTTTCAGCTGCTTGTACAGCAAGTCAAGAAGAAATGAGAGAACACAACATAAGGCTGAAGTGGGACAACGGGGATAAAATATATGCTGAGGATGGAAATGTAGTGGAATTTGTATGCTTAAGAGGCTATAAACCACATCCAGATACCAGATCATTCAGAGTTAATTGTGTGGATGGGAAATTTAACTATCCGCGTTGCATTCCTGTATGTATATTTTCAGAAAAATACTTTAATTCACCAATATTAACATTTCTTTCACTTGTCTATATCTATATACCTATATATCTATATCTGTGCATTAAAAAATCATTTGAAATATTTCAAAGACCTAGTTCTGGCAGCTAAATTTGTGGATGTAATGGATTCTAAGATAACTTGGCCTTCTGCATTTCTTCTAAATCAGAACACTTCTTAACCGACTTGATTTTAACATTGAACATTAATAGACAGGCTTGAACATTGGGTGCTATCTAACAAAACGAAATTCAATGGTGAAAAAACAAAGATTCTACACTTAGGCAAGAAAAACCAAACACAGATATAGTATAGGTGGTACCTGGCTAAATAATAGTAACTGTGAGAGGCATCTTGGAGTCCTAGTGGACAATTACTTAAATATGACCCAGCAATGCACTGCAGCTGCCAAAAAAGCCAACACAGTTCTAGACTGCATAAACAGAGGGATAAAATCAAGATCACGTGAAGTGTTAATACCACTTTATAATGCCTTGGTAAGACCACACTTGGAATACTGCATCCAGTTTTAGTCACCACAATTGAACAAAGATGTTGAGACTCTAGAAAGAGTGCAGAGAAGTACAATAAAGATGATTTGGGGACTGGAGGCTAAAACATATAAAGAAGGAATGCTGGAATTGGGTATGTCTAGTTTAATGAAAAGAAAGGCTAGGGGTGTCATGATTACAGTGTTCTGATATCTCAGGGGCTGCCACAAAGAAGACGAAGTCAAGCTATTCTTCAAAGCACCTGAGGGCAGGACAAGAAGCAATGGATGGAAACTAATCATGGAGAGAAGCAACCTAGAACTAAGGAGAAATTTCCTGACAGTTGGAACAATTAATAGGTAGAACAAGTTGCCTCCAGAAGTTGTGAATCCTCCAATACTGAAATATTTTAAGAAGACAACCATTTGTCTGAAATGATATAGAATTTCCTCCTGAGCAAGGGGTTGGACTATAAGACCTCCAAGGTCCCTTCCAAATCTGTTTATTCTGTTAACATTCCTGTGATATAAATAAAATCCCTACTGCTTAGAGCAATGGGAGAGCAATGGGGTTAATACTTGAAAATAATGAGGAATGGCACTAAAACACCCAAATCTAACAGAACCCAAAAATATAATTAGATATAAAGACCTAATTGACCACCAAGGAAAACTGAAATCCAAACAACAATTGGAAATAGAGTTAAATAGAGTTAAATAGAGAAATCGATTGGTGGACCTTCTCACAGATACAATCCAAACATAAGGAATACATAAAAAAGTATGAAATATGTAAAGAAAAACAGGAACTAGATAAAATTATATTAGATTCTGAAGAGAAATTAATTAGTAAAATCTACAAATTTCTGTTGAGATACAAGATACAGGAGGAAATAGTTAAAAATACGATGATCAAATGGATGCAAAACTTTCAATACTCAATAGAATTGGAGAGATGGGAAGAATTCTGGCAAATGAATACAAACATAACATTGGCAGTGGCATACAAAGAGAACCAGCTAAAGATGTTTTACAGGTGGCATATGTCTCCTACAAGATTGGCCAAAATAAACCCGAAAAACAATTCGGCGTGTTGGAAATGCAAGAATCCACAAGGCACCTTTTACCACCTATGGTGGACATGCCCGGCGGCAAAGAAATTTTGGTCCAATATTAAGAAATGGCTAGAACAAATTACTAAACTACAAATAGATAAGAAACCCGAAACCTTTCTGTTAGGAATTTTCACAAAATTTTACCCCAAAGAAATAAAATACTTGTAAATACATATTTTAATGGCAGCAAGGAAATATATGCCCAAAATTGGAAATTGGAAAAAACCCCAACGGAAGAAGAAATAATAGATAAAATCACACAATGTGCTGAAATGGACAGGCTGACAAAAGAGCTAAAGGAAAAAGAAGACACTGAATTTTATAAAGTCTGGAATAAATGATATCAATGGCATAGGGCTACTAAGGAAGAAATATAACTAAAAGTCAGATAGAATAGAAGTACAAATGTGCATATAATTACTTCCTTATGGGCGAATAAACCTACAGAGAGAAACTCAGAAAGCGAAGGTATAATCTAAATATATAATATATAGATTGTTAAAGCAGAAGTTTTAGAGAGCAGAAGAGAGGAGAGGGAAAAAAGGTAATAAGAAACTATTAAGTTAAGATTTAAGGGAATAAGTGTAACTGTATTACTTGAAAGACCATTACGAAACAAACGCTTCAAATGATTGATTATTTATAAATGTTTATTGTATAATGTATTTTTATGTTTTTGTCATATGTGTTTTTTGTGTTTTATATCTGTTTTAATAAACTATATATATATATATATAATGAGGAATGGGGCCCAGAATGTTGAATCTGCTGGCATTTAATCTCTTCTGGTCTGTTGATCAATTCTGACAGATTCCAAGATGAAGACCAGGAGATTTTTCTGTGCTGGAACTGAAATGAGTAGAAACTCTACTTTAAACCCAGTGGGCCATTTTCACTTATTTCATTGGTCTCAGTCAACAAATTTAGTTGCCTCAAAATGAATTGTTCCAAATGAACACACATACATTTTATTTATTTATTTCATTTGCATTGATATTGAAATATTCTCCTGGCTTTTGAACTTGCATACACAACTTACTCACTTA